CCTCAGCCTCCTGAGTACTTGGGATTACAGGCATGCACCACTATGCCTGGCTAATTTTTGTATTTTTAGTAGAGATAGGGTTTCGCCCTGTTGCCCAGGCTGGTCCTGGACTCCTGACCTCAAGTGATCCACCTGCCTCGGCCTCCCAAAGTGCTGGGGTTATAGGCATGAGCCACCGCGCCAGCCCTATTGGCCTCTTTTATTTGCATCACTGCCTCTTTCTGTCGCTGACCACCCCACCATCTCCCCCTCCCACTGGTCCCATCCTGTTTCCCCTCTCCCTATGGCACCCTCTTAGCTGGTGTGGGGGGGCAGGACTCCCCAGCCCAGGTTCCCTGGCTCCCATCCAACGCCTGGCCTGGCCGGGGTGACCTTTGCAGTGACAGGCTCCCTGTCAGAGCTCCAGATTAGCTATGTCTGCCGGGAAGTGCTCCAGGTAAGGAGAGGCCTGGGTATTCTGGGGAGAGGAGAGGAGGGGGCCCCACTCCAGCCCCCAGACACTCACAGTCCCCTTGTCCACCCTTCTCCCCAGGGACTGGCCTATCTGCACTCACAGAAGAAGATACACCGAGACATCAAGGTGGTCTGGGGGTACAGGGGTGCTGTTGGGGGGTGGGTCCCAGGAGATGGGCGTGGCATTTCGGGGACTCAGGGATCAGGGTAGTTTGAGCTGTGGGGAAAGAGTCTCCGCAGCCTCCCATACCCCCTCTCATTCCCAGGGAGCTAACATCCTCATCAATGATGCTGGGGAGGTCAGATTGGGTGAGTAAGGCTGGGGGTTGAGCAGGGGGGCTGACTGGGGGGCTGGAGGCGCAGTGGACCCCAGATCACTATGTCTCCCTCTGCTTCCAGCTGACTTTGGCATCTCGGCCCAGATCGGGGCAACGCTGGCCAGACGCCTCTCTTTCATTGGGACACCCTACTGGTGAGGGGTGCCTAGCGGGCAGCTAGGGGTGGAGTGGGGCTCAGTGGTTTTTCCCACCATGGTTCCCCGGGATCCTCCTTCCTGGCTTCATTTCCCTGTCTCTTCCTTTCTCCATGGAAGATTCTTTCATTCTCTCTGGGTGTCTCTTGAGTTTTCCACTTTTCTCTCTCGTTTTGTGCCCTTCTCTGCCCGTTGCTCTAGGTGCTTGTGTTGGTTTTTATCTTGATTTATCTGTCCCTCCATATCCATTTCTGTCTCTTTCCTCTAGCTCAGTTTGTAGCGCTCTCTGTCTCTTTGTTTCTGTCTCTCACTCTCTTCTCTGCCTCTCTGTCTTTTCATTTTGTTTTGTTTTTAGAGACAGGTTCACTGTGCCTCCAGCCCCACTGTGGCCCAGGCTGGATTGCAGTGGCACAATCATGGCTCACTGCAGCCTAGAACTCCTGGGCTCAGGAGATCCTCCCACCTCAGCCTCCCAAGTAGCTGGGACCACAGGTGTATACCATGACACCTGGCTAATTTTTTAAAAATTTGTGTAGAGATGGTGGTTTTTTTTTTTTTTCTTGAGATGGAGTTTTGCTCTGTTGCCCAGGCCAGAGTGCTGTGGCACAGTCTCGGCTCACTGCAACCTCCACCTCCCGGGTTCAAGCAATTCTCCTGCCTCAGCCTCCAAGTAACTGGGATTACAGACGCCTGCCACCGCACCCAGCTAATTTTTGTACTTTTAGTAGAGACGGGCTTTCGCCATGTTGGCCAGGCTGATCTCAAACTCCTCACCTCAGGTGATCTGCCTGCCTTGACCTCCCAAAGTGCTGGAATTACAGGCAAGAGCCACCATGCTCAGCCGAGATGGGGTCTTGATAAGTTACCCAGGCTGGTCTCAAACTCCTGGGCCTAAAGCATCTGCCTTGCTTAGCCTCCCACAGTGCTGGGATTACAGGTGTGAGCCATCGCGCCCAGTCTGCATCTCCGTCTTCATCTGCCTGTGTCTGTCTTTACTCCTGTCCCTCTGTCTCTCTGTCTGACTCTGTGTGCTGCATCTCCCCTCAACTCCTTCTCCTTCTCTGCCCCTCCTTCCCTTCCTGTCCCCATGCCACCTCTGGCTCTCTGAGTGTGTCTCCCCCCAGGATGGCTCCAGAAGTGGCAGCCGTGGCCCTGAAGGGAGGATACAATGAGCTGTGTGACATTTGGTCCCTGGGTATCACGGCCATCGAACTGGCCGAGCTACAGCCACCGCTCTTCGATGTGCACCCTCTCAGGTAGGCAGGTGTGGGGTCCCCAGGCCCAGAGATCCTGTCCAGCCCTGGCCCAAAGTCCACCCTCAGCTTCTGCCTTCCATCCCAGGAACCTCCAGTTCAGGGATCGCCACTTGAGCCTACCTTGGTACATGCTGCAGCTCTATTTTTTAAATTTAATTTAACATTTTATTTTATTTTTTATTTTTTAAGACTGAGTCTTGCTCTGTCACCCAGGCTGGAGTGCAGTGGCACAATCTCAGCTCACTGCAACTTCCACCTCCCGGGTTCAAGCTATTTTCCTGCCTCAGCCTCCCAAGTAGCTGGGACTACAGGTGTGCACCACCACGCCTGGCTAATTTTTGTATTTTTAGTAGAGATGGGTTTTCACCATGTTGGCGAGGGTAGTCTCAAACTCCTGACCTCAGATGATCTGCCCACCTCAGCTTCCCGAGGTGCTGGGATTACAGGCGTGAGC